ATTTTAATTTCTGGTCTCCTATTATAGTTGATAGAAAATAGTATTTAAATATATTTGAAATTAATTTACATATATTGTACATATACCTGCATCGCCAGAGTTCCCTTCCTGAAATGTCACATCACTCACCGAGTAATATGAGATTTCGTGGGGGCGGGGGAGCTCTGGTTCGACGACCGTTGCTTCCTCTGTTGCACTATAACCGTGCTCGTGAATTTGTTCGCCATTATGCTCCATAAGCGCAAAAATTTCTTCATTTTCTGTTTATAATAAATGGAATTAATTAAATTTGCATACATTGCCGCATACCATACCAGTGTTAGTTAAGCATACATACCTCTCTCGGGGCAGTCAAGCTGCCGAAAATCCCTGAAGTTTTTCTGCTCTTGCGCCCTCTCCATAAACTCCTGAATAAACACGTTGACCTCCTCCAGGACAACTTGCACTTGTTCCTCCATATCAACCTCCAAAATTGAAATTATGTGAAAACAAAATGAAAACAAATGGCGAATTGGTACGTGGAAGGAACTTTGTAGTGTAGAGTAGATCAGTTGTTTGTGTAGTGTTGCAAAATACCTATTGATCTCTTCTAACTAACAAAGTTACTTTTGCCGCGCCGCTATAGCTTAGCTTTAATTCATTTGATTCGTGTGTTGTGTTAGTTCCAATCCAATTGAAAATTGTGTATTATTCTTGTGTTAGAATTATCTTATCTAAAAGTAATTATCTAAACAAGAATGGAATCTGAGGTTGATGAAAATGACCCAAACAGGTGAGCTGTTTTTCTAAACATTTCTATTAATTTATGTATGTATTATTATCTATTTATGTTTATTTATTCTAGGCTTTGGTGTACTTGTCGGCGCCCATACAGTAACCGATTCATGATCTGCTGCGACAGGTGCGAGGAGTGGTACCACGGCACCTGCGTCCGCGTTACCAGGGCACAGGCGGCAAAATTGGATGCGGAGGGCACCGACTGGATATGCCCGAAATGCCGAAAGAACAAAACTCAGCCCACGGCTATTGACGCCACTTTGGAGGATGTTCCCGGGACTTCGGAATGCAGCCACAGCGATCCACTGGCGACGCCCACTGCGGCACCTGGCCTGGCTATCAACGACTCTTTGAAAGATGTTCCCGGGACGATTGGGGAGTTTCAATACTGCTGAAAACATTCCCTGTTACTTTAAAAGTAAAGCCCGCAATCGCAACAAAGAAATTATTATATTTTTAAAAAATCAGTAAACTGTTAATTTCTATCAAGCCACTGGATCGATTTGGATGAATTACACAGGCCGACAGTGTTTTTGGTGCAGCCCTATGGGCATTAAATTGTGTTAATATAGACGGGTATAAGCATATCTGCATACTTAGTTTTCGCGTTTAACGGGTGGTATTTGTGCAATCGCGGTTTGAAAAAAATAGCAACATTTAATTTTTTGATTTAGAATATTTTTTAGGGTCTGTGCTCAATTGTAATAAAACCTATGGCAAAAAATTGCTTACATGCCCTTTTATATAATTGCATTTAAGGTTCCATCGTAATTTGAGTCAATCACAGCCTATGAGCCATTGAAGTAATTTGTTCACCTCTATTCCCAACCAACTTGATGCGGTGAACAGGCTTAAAAAAATACAAGGAAAAATATGTGCCCTAAAATATTTGTCAGGCATGTAGAGGCGTCTTTCACCGAATTTTTAAGACAAATAAGACCATTGTACGTCGAAGGATGGAATTTATAGAATTTTTTCCGTAAGAATGGGAAAAGTAACAAGTATTTTAGAGTCACTCTTACGTAACGAGTTTGTCGTGATTTTACACAGTAGGCTTTTTAAAGATAACAGTGGCGTCGCCTTAAAATTGTGGTGGGGATTTTTTTTAAGGCATATTAACCCCTTAAAAATATAATTTGTCTATGTTCGGCGCCTACTGCTAACCAAATTGAAAGGCAAATTTTTACGAATGTGTCAGATATTTATGTAAAATGAGATTTAAAAATAGTTGTTACTTTTTAAGTTCTTACGGAAAAAATTCTATAAATTCCATCCTTCGACGTACAATGGTCTTATTTGTCTTAAAAATTCGGTGAAAGACGCCTCTACATGCCTGACAAATATTTTAGGGCATATATTTTTCCTTGTATTTTTTTAAGCCTGTTCACCGCATCAAGTTGGTTGGGAATAGAGGTGAACAAATTACTTCAATGGCTCATAGGCTGTGATTGACTCAAATTACGATGGAACCTTAAATGCAATTATATAAAAGGGCATGTAAGCAATTTTTTGCCATAGGTTTTATTACAATTGAGCACAGACCCTAAAAAATATTCTAAATCAAAAAATTAAATGTTGCTATTTTTTTCAAACCGCGATTGCACAAATACCACCCGTTAAACGCGAAAACGAAGTATGCAGATATTCTTATTAAGGCATTTTTCCACTATGCGGTTTTTTCGGTATTTTTGTGTATTTTCGATTGGCAACGCGATAGGCGGACGTGAGGTGTTTCCATTGGCAAACGCGTCTGAAAACAGCTGTTTTGCTATTGTCATTTGCGAGCTGAAATAAACAATGGATTTAAATAATTTGTTATTGATAATTGTAATCGCAGAACAGCATTTGAACAGCGTGGAAACTTTGCTGCTATGATGAAAGCAATAACAACATCCCTCGTTATGCTGCTTGAACATTTATTACGGCAGAAAGCAAAAGGATCTGCTGCAGAAGGAGTTAATATATATAGATCTGAACAGTCATTTAAATAATTCTTTGCCGCGACCCGCGACAGCAGTAGCTTCTGCGGCGGTACGTCACTGAACAGAATCTGAGACGGGGCAGAAACGCCTACAAGGACATTGTGCCCTTTTCCAGCAGTCGCCTGTCAACGTGTGTCATTTAAATATGGAATGGCCGTCGACGGTCAAAGTAGATTTTGCACCTGCGCTCAAATGCGACCAGGAGGTCGCCTTAATGGACGAATGGCGCACGCGAAGCAAACGTCAAGATCATGGAGACGGGAAAGCCCATGTGGCTGCGCTGCAACGACCAATATTTCGCTTCCGATCCTTTCTAGCCGAGTCATTCCATTGGATAAACGAACTGTTACTGCCCTTAATGCGCTTGGATCATCCTCGGAATACTGAACTATTGCCAGATCCTTTGGCAATGTAAATATCAACAATAAATAGTTTTAATATTTCCCGCTTCCTATCAGCCTCTTATCAGTTTCGGGTCCAGAAAAATGTCCATGCCTGGTTAATACTGCTTAAAAATACCACAAATTTCAATTTCCAGCCCTGTAACGCGACAATTTTCCACCCTCCCCTCCTCACCCCTCGCCTACAAGTTTTGTATGGGATTTGGTCGCGTTAAACGGTAAATGGATGCAAACGCGACGCGTCCATAATGAGCAGAGGGCATTATATACGTCTATATTAACACATTTTAATGCCCATAGGCCTGCACCTTTTAATAAAGTCCATTTTGTTGACCTGTGTTATGTATCAAAATAATCAGGAGGGCAAGTCCAATTATGTGGTTCCTACATATTAATTGTAAATTCGCTATAAAAATATATTTATTTTCGATATTGGGCGCCAAACAGTTGCCAATTGGCTCAATTGCCGATATATCGTATAAATACCTAGATTTTGGTTTATGTCATGGCTCCGCACGCTGTCTCGCTGGCTGGATAGTGTGAAAACCCTAGTTTGAATTACTTGAATTTCTCGAAATCTGTGGGTTTGATTTCGCTGAAGGCACAAATTACTTTTAATGATGCCCCTTCTACTGATATACCGTGCAAGTTGGCACAACCTCTGTGAGAGCAGTATTAATTATTTAAAGTTTGCATAGATTTATGGTTTATGTCATGGCTCCGCACGCTGTCTCAGTGTGACCGCGTGGAAAAAAACCTTAATTGAAATGACTTGAATTTCTCGAAATCTGTGGGTTTGATTTCGCTGAAATTAAGAAAGGAATTACTTATAATGATGCCCCTTCTACTGATATACCGTGCAAGTTGGCACAACCTCTGTGACAGCTGTATTAATTACTTAAAGTTTGCATAGAAAATGTGTGGATATTTACATGGTTGATGTCATGGCTGTAAGGTGATCTCGCTGGCGCTGTCAGCGAAAAGCGGCCAATTTCAAAATTTGACCATTTAACCCGCACACTGTAAATAAATTTTCTCGAAAACTGTGGGTTTAATTTTCATGAAATTTTCACAAAACGTTCTTAGGAGGATCCCCAATCTGCCCAGTTACCGTGCATGTTGGCACAACCTATATGAGTGGAGCCCCAGACAAATTAATTTTTGGCCCCCTTTTTTGTATGGGAAAAATCCGAGGATGGTCCACTGTTAGGCGTTTTACTCAAAATCTGTGGGTTTGATTTTGATGAAACTTTCAGACAAGAAGCTTGAATAACGCCTAATAACCTGGTTTAGCGTGCATATTGGCACAACCTCTGTGAGGGGAGCAGTTAACCAAATGGTGGATTTTTCAAATGCATTTTTGAAACACTTGCAGACCTCGGATTTGGCCCCAACCTATATAGATCGATAGATATTTTAATTCTAAACAATTGCATGAAACATTTTTCAATTCGGCCCCCAAATAGCGAGGAAATTTAAAAAATAAAAATGCCCCCAGTGTTCCACATTCCACCGTTCCACTTTCGTTGCTAACTGGTCGACGCTATTTTGACGTACATAATATTAAAGTGGGTTTATCTCTATTTAATGTGGGCTTCACCCCTTTAAATGTAATGCAATTCAGAGTACCCATTAATACTTAAAATTATGCATCGAACTAGAACACGGACTAAAGCAATACATTTTTAAATTTACATATTTAATTTTTTTTTATTTTGCAATCATAAAATAAATATAAAGGATATCATTTCTTAGTTTTATTTGATTTTAATATTTTGAATTACAGTCCACAATTTTCCAATTAATGCCCACTGTAACATTTTTACAGCACTGTTTTGACGCAAAATAATACGGTGTTATCGATAACATTTTGAGCTCGTTCGCATAAAATAAATATTTTCCGGCGTTTTAAAATGGTAAGCAAATATTTAAAGAAGTGTGGTGTTTTTACGACCTTTATCCATCCCGCAGTTCTCCCTGCTACATAAAGAAGAAAATGCCCACGACAATGCGCTGTGGGCTTGCTCCTGGGGCCGCGACACCGCCGATCCGGATCCGGATGACGCGGGCACGGAGCCCGAGGAGGAGAATCCCTTCGACTTTGACAAGAAGGAGGCGCGTCCCAAGGACTTTATAGTCACCGGCGGTCTGGACGACTTGGTGAAGGTGTGGGATCTGCGCGAGGACAACACCTTGAAGCTGCGCCACCAGCTGAAGGGTCATGCTTTGGGAGTCGTTTCCGTGGCCGTCAGTTCCGATGGACAGAGTAAGATTAAAGTTGTTATACCTTTAATTTACTCATTCTAACTACCCTTTCTTTTAGCCATTGCCAGCAGCTCCCTGGATTCAACAATGTGCCTTTGGGATGCCCGTTCCGGGGACAAGAAACACCTGCTCACCTTCGGACCCGTAGATCTCTGGACGGTGGGATTCTCGCCCTGCAACAAATACGTGATATCCGGCCTGAATGACGGCAAAATCTCCATGTACAGCGTGGAAACGGGCAAAGCTGAGCAGACGCTGGATGCCCAGAATGGCAAATACACGCTTAGCATTGCCTACGTAAGGTTTACCAAGGGAAAACAGAGTTTGCCTAGATTTTTAACCATGTAATTGCAGAGTCCGGATGGCAAGTACATAGCCAGTGGAGCCATCGATGGCATCATCACCATATTCGATGTGGCGGCGGGCAAGGTTGTTCAAACTCTAGAGGGTCATGCCATGCCGGTTCGTAGTCTATGCTTTTCACCCAACTCGCAGATGCTGCTGACCGGTTCCGATGATGGCCACATGAAGCTTTATGATGTGTAAGTTCGCAGCACTACTAATAGAATGATCTAATAATTTTTTCCTGCAGAACCCACTCGGATGTTGTGGGCACCCTCTCTGGCCACGCCTCCTGGGTGCTGTGCGTGTCCTTTTCCGAGGATGGCAAGCATTTCGCCAGCTCCTCCAGCGATCGCAGCGTCAAGGTATGGGACACCTCGGAGCGCAAGTGCCTGCACTCCTTCGCCGAGCACTCGGATCAGGTGTGGGGCGTTCGCTATAGTCCCGGCAACGACAAGGTGGTCTCCGCCTCCGAAGACAAGTCCCTCAACATTTACTACTGTCCGCCCAATGCCATTGTGTGATCCCCGCCGTTTCGTACAATAAAGCGTAGGTTTAAAACGAAAAACAAGTGGGATTTATTCACGGATTGCCCTCGGAGTTTGATTTAACCCGCAGCAGGGGCTGCGTGGCTTGGGTTAGCATCGTATCCTTGTACTTCTGGTCGGGTATGTACATGTTGAAGGTTTTAAAGTAGTGAAGGATGTTTTCTGGAAGATTAAAGTTTAATTTGACGTTTCTTAATAGTATCTCCCTGGGTAATCTCACCAACTAGAGGCTCCTTGAGCTTGTAGTCATTGGCTATCTTCTTGGCTGGCCAGGATTCCGGATCCAGCTGGTGGTCATTGATGAACTTGAGCGCCTGGCGCAGTGTACAGTGACCGGGGCTGATGCGCGTGGGCTCCAGGTAGCCATACTCCTGGTCATCCGGCGTTTTGCGCTCCAGGGGCAGAGGTCGCTGCTCCGCCTTGTCGGCCGCCGCCTCCGCTGCCTGGCGCTCCTGCACGCGCTTGATCTGGGGAGTATATATATTCATTATCCATCGAAAAAGCTCTTAATACCATCTACTCACAAATCGATCCTGCGACGTTACATAAACGTTTTTCAATCGACCATCCAAGCTGGAGTCCTTCATGTTCAGCTTGTCCACGAACTTGGGATCCACTGTATATAAAAACTCAATATAAAGATCACTTTAAGTACTTTAATAACTCACATTCCAAGGTGCGCTCCATGTCCCTCAAATTGGAATCGAATTTGGGTGCCGGCGTGGGTTTCTCGCGCTCCAGGATGCGATGGGCGCGATTCTCGGCATTGAAGCGATTCGCCCGGCGGGCCACCATGGAGACCACCTGTCCCATGCCGAAAATAATATTAGTTTTATTTACGTTATGTTGCTAATGAAAAGTTCACGTTAAATCGAGGGAAACCGAAAAAATAATGCACATAACCAAAAGCCAGCTGTGCTTTGTTTTGCCAACAGCTGTTTTGTTATCGGCAATCGATAAGTGTTGCAAAGCACACCGGCACAGCTGTTGCATGTAAACAAACGAAAAGCGAACTCGGATTTGGATTTTCACTGATTTTATTTGTTGAAGATCTCGAGAAATGCTGCCCCTGCGATGCAGTTGGTCCTTGGCCAGGGCCAACTATTCCACCAAGGCCAGGAAGGAGCTGGTGGCACGCTATAGCGGCGAATTCCCCGAGAAGCTGCTCAACAGGAAGCAAAAGGTGCCCACCCACATGTATGTGGCGAATGCACAGGCTGCCGAAAGGATTAGCCAGCATCTGGAGCCCCATTTTCAGAGCTCCGGCTGCGACACTGTGATGGAACTCAATTCCGGAGCGGGACACCTCACGCGGCATCTCTTGGACAGGGAATCCCAGTTCCGGCGGATTATACTGCTCGAGAGTATGGATCACTTTATGCCCAGAATCCAGGAGCTGCATGCGCTCTATCCGGAGCGTGTGAAGGTGCGCCAGGGTGATTTCGTCAACCTGTGGAAGCTGGTCTACATGGATAAAATGGACGGGGGCTCCAGGGTGGCGGATCTGCTCAATGATGTGCCCCAGAAGGCATTCACAGATGGTGAGATGATGTGGTAGCCTCTTAAATGGTTTCTAACCTTTGTTTTCCATTAGATATCAACATGCTGGTCGTCGGCGCCGTGGGCTCCTATCCCTTCTTCAAGCATTTGATCAATTCGCTCATTTTTCAGACCAGCCTCTTCAATCTCGGACGCTGTGAGATGATCCTCGCCATGCCGCCGCCCATTTACATAGTAAATGCTTTTATCCTTTCCTAATTATCGCTTATATTATAAATATTTCCTTTGCCAGCACCTCACCTGCAACAATGAGATCGGTTATCTCATCTACCGCTCCACCAGCGTGCTGTTCCAGATCCTCTTCGAGCACCAGTTCATTGCCAAGGTTCCGCGCGAGGATTTCCTGCCTCAGCAGACGGTCTACAGTCCCACCAAGGGCAGCAAGTTGGGCAAGGTGCGGTCCATCAACCCGGAGTACCTGTACCTGGTGAAGTTCTCACCGCGCCGCAATCTCCACGAGCTTTGCCAGTCGCAGGATTTACCCGCCCTCTGGTTCTTCATAAAGCAGAACTTTGTGAGCCGCCGCAATAGGATTATACCGAACTTAGAGTAGGTAGTCAAGGCAAAAGTATAGGCTTTTCATTTAAAGACTTTATTTTGCTGTAGAAAATGGGTGCCAGGCTGTGGACCCCGGCTGATCATCAATCCGCACGCCTCCGAACCCGTGACGCCCACCTATCCGGATGAGTTGCCCAAGAAATTGCCGCAGTACTCCTGCCAGAGCACCTCAATGAGCACCAGGAACTACTATCCCGGCATCAACATCTACACACAGTTCGGAGACCTCCGTCCTAGTCAGATGCTAACGCTATTCAGCCAGTTTCGCCAGTGGCCGGAGTACGGTGAGAGTTCCTTCCTCGCCTCGCTGGAAAACGCGCTGCTCAAACTGGAGACTGCCAATGACGAACAAAATCTGGAGGATGGCGTCACGTTGCCAGAGGAGGATGATGCCGAAGCAGATGAAATGCTCGAGGAAGAAAGCCCCGAACCCGCCAATCCACCCGCCAAGAGTCGCAGGAAAGCCAGTTCCTAGTTTTGGCTACCTTTGTTGAGTTTAAGCTTTTAGCTTTTGCAGAAAATATAAATTTAAATCGTAAAACTGGTCTTTATAGAAATGTAATCCAAAAATCATTTTGTACTTAGTTTTAACATTGAGCAAATTCGAAATTCTTCACTGGGAGTTACAGCACCAAAACAGAACACACATTATAGTTAACAAATTGACATTTATCCCCAGTTGCTATCCTCTAGGCACACTTTCCCTGGGCCAAAAGGCGACTGCCGCGGGCGCACTTCTCGGCCAGGTCGATGTAGTATTCCGGCGGAGCCTGCTCCGGCGTGTCCGAGATGCGCGTCTCCAGTTGCACCGACAGCTTGACACAGTCAACCATCAGGTTGCTGGGATTCACGCCCAGCACAAAGGTGGCCTCCTTGTAGGGACACGGATTGCCCTCGTTCTTGGTGTTGCCGAACTCGTAGCAGGTGTCGCGGATCATGAAGTGTCCGTCCTTGCTGCACGGATTGCGGATGCACTCCGGGATGATCCGCTCCTTGTAGAGCACCAGCATCTGGCCGGGTTCACAGGGTCCCTGCCGGTAGGCCGGATAGCAGGCATCGGTCTCTGGGTAATACAGTGTGGCTATCGAAGGGGAAGTACCCAAATTATTATGTCATCGCCGCTGAAGATCCATTGTGGCTGGCTCACCTGGCGCGCAGTCGCAGACCCAGTCGTTTTGCGTCTGCTGGTCCCCCGGATAGAGAAGCTGGTGCTTGGGGCATCGGGCTGGCGAATAGAGCGGCTTGCGACCCTGGGGAAGAGGAGAATTCGGAGACGGGTGAGCAAGACATCTGATTGATTATTGCCGATGCGTCTTCTATACTCTACCAAGAAGTCCTAAGGTTTTGAAATCCGATATTTAAAACTTGTTGCGGTAAAATAATAAACTTTGGTGTAAGCAATCGTTTAATTTGAGGTGATAATAATTTTTTGATTTTAAATATATGTAATGGTTTTCTAAAAAATGGAATCCTATTAAACGCTAACTTTTCTGCTAGTGAATCACTTTATACATTATATAAATAGGTAATTAAATGTACTCACAAACTAGTTAATTATCGAGAATTTCAACCTACATAAAAACCATTTCATTATAAAAATTGTAACACAAATTTCTCCGTAATTACGTGTTTTTGCTTTAATAATTTAAGCAGGGCTTATATTGAAAAACCCGGAATCTTTTGGTTTAGGAAACTTTAAATGTAAATTCTTCCACGAAAATGGGAATAAAATTATAAGAGTGTGATTTTTGAAAACATTTTCTAAATGGTTTTTGGTTTAGAAAACTAAGAAATATTAATCTTCAAAGGGGAAGAGTATTTAGATCTGGGTTTTGCCTTGTTCCAGCTGGCTTTTCTCTCCAAGTTCGGGGTTTGTTATCAGGCTTCGTCGGATTGTAAGTCTGCAACTCACCGCTAGGTTGGCCTTCTTCTTATCAATGTCTTGGTCCTCGACAAACGCGATTTGGGCGCGTGCCACTTTCCCAATAAGCGCAAAGATCACGACGATCAGCACCAGTCGCGGATTGATCATTGTTCGATCTTTCGCTCTCTCTCTCTCTCTCGCTCTGTTTTGATTAACGAGTATGGGTATGCAAAATCGACGATGCCGAGGGCTTTACGAGATAACAGAGCGCGACTTTCTTCGGTTTCACTTTTCTTCACATCCGCTTACTTCCAACTGCGACGAAGATCGGCTCCAAACTGCTTATTGGCTTCCGATTGGATCCCATTAAATCCGCTCTTGGGGCTCGAAAATCGATATTCAACTCCGATGCCTATCGATGACTTTAATTAAGACACGAAACTGTCTGATTGGGATTCAATTTAATTTGAATATGAGCAAGGATGATTTATGCTTCCTAACATTCTTTTTAATCACTATTACATGATTCTTATTTACAAAATAAAACTATTTCTAATTTAATGTTAAAAAATAAGAAAAATTATTTTCTAATGACTTTTTAAACTTTTAAAATTATATTGAAAACCACAAAATTATAACTAATCTTTTAAAAACTTTTATATTATTTCACTTCAATTTGTCAATATATCTTAATATTTATTTTTAAAATATATCTTACCTCTTATTTGATTGTGCTACACTATATATAAAAGTTTCTAATAAAATATAAATATTTTTAAAGTATCCCCAACGCGCCAAACTCACCCCAAATTTCAAAAACTATGGTGCTATCAACACTGGTGTCCAATTAAGCAATCGATGTCTATCGAAGTGAGCACACCACCATTTTCTTTGTCAAAATAAATAGTAAATAAATAAAAATTGAATTCACCTGCGAAACGAAGCGAACACACACCCTGAACGGCTCAAATGGACGACGAGGAGACCTCAGGTGGGTGTGCTAATATCAAATCAATCGAATAATGCTCCCAACTAACGTGTTGACCATTTCAAACTGCGCAGAAATCAATTCTGTGCACGGGGAGGATGCAGATGTGCAGCGGGAGGAATTCCAGGATCTGCAGGTGGAATCCCTGGAGCAAGCTTGGCAGGATGCAATAGAGGAGGAGGAGCAGGAGGAGTCACCGCGGGCTGAGGATGCGGATCCACTGGCCATCGAGGCGGGCGGCGCTGCTCACCAGGAGCCCATGGTGGAGGACGCCCAGCAGGACGACACCGCCAGCGAGGGCAGTCATCCCAGCAGCGACATGTCCCTGGAGAGTCCAGGAAGTGAGGGTAAATAAGCTTAAGACCCTGCTTCTCTAGATTCCCCCCTATTCACCCACTTTCCCATTCAGATGACTCTGACTTAGAGCGCCTGCCCCGCTGGATGATTCCCCAGAACCGCCTGCGCTCCGCCGTCGACATGATGGTCTCCCAGGCACGCAACCGGGATGGCGGCATTGCCGCCCTGCTCAACCGGGACAACTTCCTGCAGCGCGTGCGCAGCATGGTCTTCAGCCAGGAGCGTCGACGCAGTCGCAACAGTGAGGAGACTAGCCAGGAGGCCACCGATCAGTCGGATGATCACCCGGCAGCTGCACCCACACCACGTCCGCCCATCGACATTGAACTGGAGGAGGGCGTGCGCTTCGACACCAATCTGGCGGCCGAGCATTCGTACTTCGGCAACCATTTGAGTCGCGTTCCCGGCGTCGACTATTTGGAGGTGGGCAGCACCCATCACATGCTCATCTTTCTGCACCAGCACATCCTGTTTCCCGGCGAGGTTCTGCCCTTCATGATCGACGGCCGCATGTTCGACGAGGATATGCCCGGCCTGGATGGTTTGATCTTCGGCGTGGGCTTTCCGCTGATGCAGCCGCCGGAGGATAATCCGCACAAGCTGTACGGCGTCACTTGCCAGATTTACGAGAAGGGCGAAAGCGGCCGTGGTTTGGTGTTCTACAAATCAAGAGCTCTACAGCGCATCGTCATCAACTGCGATGATATACAGGGGTGACTAGATCCGCAGCCTATTTTAAAACATTCTTTTAACCAAATGAAATCCCTTCAGGCCTCCCCAGTACATTGCCCGCAATCCCACAAGCAAATGCTTCAGCAAGGTCAAAATATTGCCCGAGTACTTCCTGCCGGAACCCCTGCAATCCGTTGACATGGGCTCGATGGCCAGGTTTCGGGATATTCCCTCGATGCGCGACAAGTATCAGCGGTTCCAGCTGGCCAGCACTCCCTGGCCGGCGGATGCCTGCCAGGAGTATTCGTTCAGTGCCATCGTAGAGCGCGCACGCCAGCGGCTAGAGACCCAGAAGATAGACACCATGCCAAAGTGCCCCATCCAGTTGTCCTTCTGGCTGGTGCGCAATCTCCACCTGACCGAGAAGATGATGCGCCTGACCTTCCTCACGGACTCGGTGAACACGCGCCTGCAGCTGATCAAGAGCACGTTCCAGGAGGAGTCGCTCTTCTTCTGCCGGTACTGCAACAGCAGCCTGGCCCACTGCTCGGATCTCTTTGCCATGTCCAAGCACGGAGTGCAGACCCAGTACTGCAATCCAGGTGAGCGCTTAATTTAAAATATCCCTCAAAAACAAGCCGACTGTGATGAAAATAAATATATATCAAACACGCTCACTGATCGAAAAATATTTATCATGAGTGAGGAAAATAAAATAATGAAAAAGTGAGGGTAGTTTACAAATCCGTAATGATTTTTATTTATTTGATTTTTATAATAAAACTCAAAAAATAACTGTTATTTGTTGATTTTTATGTGTAACAGTTATTCCCTTGACATTAAAAAAAAAATTAAATAATTAAATAAACTAAATAAATTTACTAAAAAATCTTTTTAAAAAAGCCATCCGTGTATATTGTATTACTATATTTTTTTTTATTTGTTTATCCCACAAAATCGCCATAAATCAAGTTTGGGTTTTATTTTTGATCACGACGAATATAAAACTTAAAAAATAACAGTTATTCTTTGAGTTTTACTTTACGAATCCGAAAATAACTGTTAGAATGTGATGTTTAACATAAAACTCAACAGTTACGGTCCCTGAAATAAATATCCCTAACGAGTGATGAAATGATCATTAACAATATAGTCAAAGACAAATAGCACCGACAACTTAAAAGCGTGTTCAATTTACAATAGGCAGAAATAAAGTAGTTGATCCACAGTAATCTGCGTTTAAAAACATATAAATTGCTTATTAAAGTCTAGATAATACAAAGAAAAACTTTTATAAAACTTGGTGTTAGTAGCCTTTTTTTGTTTTAATTTTCCTAATTTTTTCCTTACAAAATGTGAAAAATGGGGAAAATGTTTCATGAAAAAAGCAGCATAAAACAGTTGAGATTTTTATCAGGAAAATATTCATTAGCCCTTTTTGGTTACTCCTCATTTTATTGCGACAAATATAACCGCTCTATGTTGATATTATTATATTTAAACAAAATGACATATTAACAAATGTATTCCTTCTTTACAGAGGGCTACATCCACGAGACGAACACCGTGTACCGGGTGATGTCCCATGCCATCGGCTACAGCGGCGAGCCGTCCACCAAGTTCAGCTGGTTCCCCGGCTACCAGTGGCACATCATCCTGTGCAAATTCTGCGCCCAGCACGTCGGCTGGGAGTTCAAGGCGGTGCAGCCCAACCTGACGCCCAGGTTGTTCTTCGGTTTGGCCGGCTCGAGCGTGCGAATTGGAAAGGCCAGCGAGAATACGCCGGTGAATGGCAGCACCTACGTGGTGCGCAACATGCTGCGGCTGATCACCAACGAGATGGAATGAGGCTGGCGCGTTGTGAAGCGATTGCTCAGCTGTCGTTCGGCCGCCGGAGAATAATTCGTTTAATTCGTTTCACAACCACATTTAGTAGAACCCACGGCGTCTGAGGGCGTGGCTGTAAACCGAAAGATTGATCTACATATGAATGCATATATGTTCTTTAGTTGAAGTAAATTATACCTAATTGATATTTAAGATTATTCGAAACTAAAGCTTCTCTCTAATAAGTTACCCTTAAAATGTGGCTTTTATTAGATTTAATTAATGTGATTTTTTTAGATCTTTATGTCAAGCCGTTCTGGGTGGAATGTGCTACTGACCTTTTTTAGGGGTCGAACTTTGTATTAGTTTTGATATGGGCTCGGTTTTACAATTTTCAATCATTCAGAAGTGCCGCAAAGGAGGTGGACAGCTTCTGCAAAGGATAAAGCAATGAAATGTTTGGTAATTTTTTATAGCAAGCTTTACTTACTGCCTTGCAGAAGGGACACAGGCCAAAGGAGACCTCCAGGAAGGTCTTGCCGTCCATTAGCGTCTGGAACCACTCCTCCAAGCAGGCGGCATGGCACTTGAGAACACATTTCGGATTGTCGCAGGAGACTAAAGGCACATCGCCACTATCCAGCCGATAGACGAAGCAAATGTTGCAGCGCAGCTCCTCGTTGTCCTCCTCATCCGGCTTGGGACCATCGGACCAGTCCGGCATTGGGAAGTAGCACAGGTCGAACATGCGCAGCAGGTTCTTGTGGATGTCCAGCTCGGAGTCCCAGTTGCCCAGGCCATCGCTGAGCACGTGACGCAGTCGGGCCACCTCATCCGTGGGTCCAATGATCTTCAGGGCCATGGATGCGACGCAGGCGAAGGGATCCCCAATGGTCAACTTCAAGTAGACGCGATCCTTGAGCGGAAACACACGGGTGTTGTGCTTGGTCGTGATGGGCGACGGCTGGAGCACATGGCACAGCTCGTCGATGTCCATGAAGTTGTCGTAGAACGGACGCAGCTCCTCCAGCAGCTTGCGGTAGAGGGTGAGGATCTGCTCCAGGCTTCCGGCATTCTTGGCCAGCATTTCGCCGAAGGGTACGCATTCCGGCAGGCTGTGATCGACCAAGCGTAACGAGGGTATCTCCAGCTCAAGATAATGCTGCTCGTAGTCACTGAAATCGCTGAAACGGAGGCGGGAACAAGCCTCATCGATTTGCATTTGGAACTCCTTGGATTTGTGCAGGGCCAGGATATCTTCGTATATATTTTCCTGAGGCCATTGCTTTTTAGAACATGTCTCTGCTTTTTTGGCCGGAAGAATCTTTCCCAGATTGTCCAGCAAATCCTCCAGCTTCCATTCGTCCTGTAACTTTAGGTTATCCGACGTGTAGATCTTGAACTCCACGCCCTCCTGCACATATAGCTGGAAACTATCAAGAGCTGGATATTGAGGTAAATAGAGCCTAAGGCGATGCCAAATATCCTGGTTTAAAGGATGATCATTAGTTTGGGGGGCATATTTGGGTTACTATCAACCTACCTCACTGCAAATAACGCCTCTTATGATCAAAGAACCACTAGCTTGAAGTTGTGCCTCCAGACCAGGATACTTGTTCACCAGGAGGCGCTCCACATCTTCTTTTCTGGTGTCCATTATTATCAAAACATATATTTGTTTACCTTTTATTTTTGAACACCCTTCCCTAGAGATGGCATCCTTTTAAAGCCATCGATTGCTACAATCGAGATCGATAACTAACTAATCGCCGGCTAATTTGAATTTAAATGTTTAAGCTTATGAAGTTTATAATTAGAAGTTGATTAATTTTAAGGGATTTTCCCGCCTTGTTAACATATTAAGCACATACATAGCTGCATTGTTTACCGGCCTACTTGGCCGTAACATTGTAGTTTCGCCTCTCCCCAGTTATCAGGCAAATTTACGTTATTTACTGATACAAATCGGCGCTGTTTGCTCTTCGTCAGAGCGCAACACCTGCAGGCCACACTGTTTCCTTTTGTAACACCTGCGTGGCGGCCCCGTATCAATAGCCAATAGCCTGATAAACTTCTCTCTCTTTTGAACCGTTGGTCATCGCTCGGACACGGGGCTATTTAAGGTTCTCCACCGGCCCCATCGATTCCATTCACGGTTATCATCTGCGTGCGCGCGTACTCAAAAGATTTTAAACTTTTCTGCTGAAAAAGATAAAAGGAGTTTCCCCGGGTGAAAAATGCTGCAAATCGTTGTAACTTTGTCTTTAATTCTGGCCACTGTCAGTGCCACCAATGTCCAGCAGTGTAAGTAGCTGAATCCCTCTTATTTGGTCACTAGGTTTCCCTAAACTTTGAACTCGGTTCCTAAATAGCTTTGTCTATTAAAGTTGATTCATGGTTCTCGGTTAATCCCATGCTGGTGATTCATTTCACAGACTTTGTCTTAAGCATAATCTGTGTGAAATGCCAAGAACCAAGAACTATTGTTAAAAATACTTTCGAGTGAAAATAAAAGTCCTCAAGAGTATCTCTTGGCCAAGTTGATATGGCTTATCAGTCTGCGCCAGCTAATCTGGTATTTTTGTTCCCGAAAACCATAGCCTACTTATAAGCTCACCTGTTGATATTGTTTCAGGCAAAAACAAGCCGTTCCCACTGGATGTGAGTATCAAGGATTGCGATGAGCCACCGTGCGTTGTGTATAAGGGAACCATTGCCGTAATGGAGGTGCACTTCCTGGGCAGTAAGTTCAAGGAACTCCATTCATATATCCTTGTTGTTCTCACCTTGATATCTTTTAGATAACAACAATATCAAGAGCATCACGGCCACCACAACGGCCAAGGTGTTGGGCATGAATCTGCCATATGTGCTGCCCGAGGAAGTTTCCGATGTGTGCCGAAACCTTCTGTACGGCGCCATCTGTCCCATCGATAAGGACGAGGATGTCACGTACCAGTTCAACTTCTACGTGGAGCCTTCGTTCCCGGAAATCACGGCGGATGTCACTGTCACACTTAACGATGCCCAAAACGAACCGATCACCTGTTTTGTGGTGAGCTGTAAAATCCGGAAGGGAGCCACTGGGGCATCCCAATCCCTGCGGGAGGGATTCCTACTGGACTGGACGAACCCCGGTTCCCTCTAATGCGACGATGTTCTCAACTCCACCGATTTGGCCCGACTGAATATTGCCACTTATTTGTCAAACAATAAACTCAAAAGTCTTGCAACGATAAGCGCATTTGTTTACCTTGGCGACGTCGACGTCACGGATTCCAGTGTACCCGTCCAATCAGTCGTCGGATTAACACATTTCTGGGTCCCCCGATTAGATATAGACTCTACGGCCACCCGTATTTATTTATATACAGTCATCTGTGACGTTCCTGTTTGCACCGAAAGTCCAGTAATTTATTTCCACTGATTCAGTGGCGAATTTACCAATAAAATCTTCGTGATAATCATTTATTGACCGCCCGAAAGATCGCGTTGACCATATGGTCAAAAGTTGGGGCTTCGTGATAAGGCGATAGTCGTCTTGCTGGGTGCAACTGTACACTCGGAGAATTTCTGCTTAAAAACACTGTATTTTCTTAGAATTAAGTAGTTCATGGAGCTTATAGAAGCGATTACTGTAATCATAATCATAATCACTATAATGGGAAGTGTTTCCATAGAACGTTATCATATATGCGTACGTTTTATACGGTTATTCCGGAAGATTAAAAACTAATAATGTTGTATTTTAGTTAAGGATTTAATTACAAAAATAGGGGTTATTTTTTGTGGAGAGAAATAATTTCAATAGAGAAATGGTTGCTTAAGTAAATGTATGAATTGGGAAATCATATTTATAATCTATTTATTCTATGGCTTACCTTTTTTTTTTGTTTCGATAAATACAAAATTAGTTAAAATGTTCTTTTAATCCAAGTTAAGGTTTCTTACAGTGCAACCTACGTTGAAAATAAATCTGATAATGTGGGTGAGTAGTCGGGTTATGGGAAATGGGAATTGATAGCCCGGTACATTTTTCTTCTTCTTCGCATTGGGCCCGAACAGGTGTGTTAGGTTAATCAGACTCGAGATTTGTGAATTATTATTTGATTCGATTATAGCTTTTCGTCCACTTGAGTTTTACACCTTAATGGCTGCGTGTGCAGATAGCGCCGATGGCCAATAGAATGCATTGTAATACGAGTCTTAAAAAAATCCCAGACACCGGAGTTACCTTTTTGTTTTGCCCAACCCCAGAGGAAACGCATAAGATGTGTGTGTGTGTACTTAGGAACCACCCTCTAATGTGGGGGGTAAAGCTTTTAAAATTTTATTAAATATTCATGAGACATCGTGACTGAGCTCAGCGATGGATTTTGAAAAAGAATGAATGGTATATCACAGTAATTTAAACCAATTGATGAATAACTTTGCCCCAAAACTCAGTTGAGATAGTCCAGTTCGTAGACCGAATTGCCGCCATTTCCCTTGACCACCTTGATGTCGCACACGAAGCACGTGGCAATCTCATTGTCCTGGTCCACCAGATAGATCTCGATCTTCACGCCGATCTCGGGATATTCGCCGATGGGAAAGGTGAACAGATAGGACACATCCTCGGTGGCATAAAGTGGGCAATAGGCGCCGTACTGGAGATTTGGACAGACGGCAGCCACATCCGCGGGCAGTTCGTAGGGCACTGTGATAATTCCAAGGGTGGTGGCCTTCACCAAAGTTGTTAGCTTGGTAATGTACTTATCCACGGCAAAATCGATCTCGAACTTCTGCGTCGAACCCTTGACAATCTGGCAGGGCGGAGTTACGCAGCCATGAACACGCACCTCCAGCGGAAAGGGTTTGCTGCCAGAGCCTAAAAGGGTATTATTTTTATTTATATTCTATACTACTATAATTAGAAGTTCCACTTACATCTCTTCACCTCCGTCGCCGGATGCTCCTGCTGGGCGCCGACCAGCGACATTAGTCCCAGGGAGATCAGAATAAACGCCTTGACTTGCATGTTTCTCGGTTCGAATTGCTTTCGGCCAACGGTGCCCACATCGTTTTTATAGCCAGATCCGAGCTCTTTCTCGGCTAATACGATCGGATTTGGCCTATCTAATCGCGGGCCAGTAGCCACTGATTTCTTTACTGGCAATCAAAAGTTTTCCGGTACAACACTTTCTTGATCTAATACTCATAATGATTATATTAATAACTATTTTTAAATTAATGGGTTAATAGGTTTTTTTATAATTTAAGAAATAACCAATTTTAGATGCTCCTTATCTGCTTACCCAAATAAAGACTTGGCCAATACAAATCAGTACATCAATTCGCATCATTAGAGCCACAATGCGAATGGATCGTAAAATTATGAAATCGGGCAGCAGCAGTAGCATTTTATCACTTCATCGCCAAGTTCACGGGACCCCGGCACAAAGGAAGGGCCAAAATAAATCCCAGAGCACTCCGCAGGCAGGCCACTAAGCCTCTGTTGGCAATGGAAAAACCCACAGACATTTGAGCCTCGGCCAAAGCCACTGACAATGGAACTTCTGCGGGGCAGGAAAATGTGCGAGTATAAAGGAAGCGCACGGAGAGTAAGCTGGAAAATATAAGAACGCCTGCCCCCTAAAACTCCACCCACCCAGCACTCAATGGTTGGCGAATTTGCCAAAAGGTAAGAATAGAGGGGTGAGATTGAACAGTTCTGTTACTTCTGAAACGAATAAATATTAGAAAAAGATAAAACTTAATCCTAAATAAATAAATACTTATTGAATCTGAAAATCTTTTACTACTAATAATATTACCATTTATTATTTAATAATATTTAATGATTTTAGTAAATTATTTTTCATATTCTTATTACTTCTTATTATTTATTAGTACTCACTTTGGTTTTTATAGAACTTCAAAATATATTTTTTGTTACTATTTTTTTTGCAACATATTTCTTGAGCCACCCTTGCCAGCATTTTGCAACATTTCGGATGGTTGGTGGTGACTTGCCATGTGGACATCGGCAGCGCAGCATGAGATTTTCTCGAAATGCTTTTGAACTTGCCACCCTCCCCCCTTTTCCCTTTCTTTTTCTGCCCCGGAACTGTCGTCGCTCCTCACATGTAATTGTTGTGACATTATTTAATATGTCAAAGCAGTGGAAAATCCGGCAGGACAAAAAATATCCCCGACACACACACATCCGAAATGGATCTCAGGGAACCGCAATATTTGATTAGCATCAGCATCAGCTAGAGGAGAAGTCCTGATACATTGATTCCGGGAATCTATTTTCGGTGTCAGCTAATGCAATTATCTGGGCCGGAAAATCTGATACTCGAATACTTTCGCAGGCAAACATTTCCACTTGCCTCGGCTTCCGTTTCCGTTTGCACTTTTGGGTGCTCTCCGCTTTTTTGCATACGTATTCCCAAATGTATTTCACGGATGTTCGGCTTATCTTTGATGTGCCTTTATTTTTGCACGGGGAATCAATAATGTGTGGAGGGGGAACTAAAAGTTTGATTATTGATTATTTCGGGTCGCAAAAGTAGGCAGCACTTTTCACAGGCTAACAGAGCTTTTTCATATCTGAATAGACTGGTTATCACTGGCCCCGCCCAGAAAACCATGTAACTCAATTAATTTGTCAAATCAAGTCGGACATTAAATGCCAGCGCCAAAGCCAAACAATTTGTCACGCCAATCCTGTGGCCTTTCCCCCGGCAACCCATCAACCCATCAGCCGAGCAACCCAACAACCCAAATACCCGACAGCCCCATCACCCGAATGTCTGTTCTATTTCAATTTGATATTTGTTTGCACGTAATTCAATACCAAACGACAAACTGACAAACTGGCGCGTCAATTGTGTCTCAATTAGGCGGAAATTTGATTTTCGTGTTGTTAATTTTTCATTAAATTTTTGGAACTGCCGTGTGCTGTCAATTAATAACGGAATTTCTGAAAGGGCACGCCCAATTGCCCATGAACCCTTGCCCTTTTGCCCCTCAACAGGTGCTGTGATTGGGCTGTATATATCCCTATTTTCTTTCTAATTCTTTAAAATATTTTTTAGCTTTATAGAAGTGAACTACAAATAATACAAATGTGTGAAAATATGAATATGCATTTAGGGAAATTTTTGTTCAAAACAACCCCTAAATCGAAAACTATCCAAGTGCATTCAGGTGTTTTCATTTTAACGAGGAAAAATCTATGATTGCTTGTGGTCAACCAGGTGACCAACTGGCCTTGAGACAATTTTTCAGCACTTTCCACCTGGAAAATTAGAAGGGTGGGTATAGGGCGAATATTTCTCGCCTTGCTGCACCCTTTGATACGACGTCTCATTTGCCAATAGCAATTTGCATATGCCGTCATGCGAAAATGTTTTTTATTAAATATTTCCAGCATGTCAACGTGCCCGGCCAGGGATGCTAATTAATTGCTTCGCCCCCTTTCTTCACCCCCCTGGAAAAAGACTGCTCTGCTTTTGGCACTGTAATTAAGTGAATGCGAAATTCATGTTTCCCGAAATCAACAATCAAAAATCGGAAGGAACATGCGTTGCAACAAGTTCTCTTAGCTGTTGAGTAATTTCCCCCCGACGTGTTGGCATTTAAGACCCTGCTCCTCCCTCTCTCTCTCTCTCTCACCTGGCAACGCAATTTCCACCTGAGAAATGTGCCCACTTCGAGCGAAAAGAAGTTTGCTTAATTTGCATAAATATGTTGTGCCAGTCGCTCTAAATTTCTGGCTGCCTGCGTATAATTAAAATGTTAGCTGAAAGCCTTGAGTTACATAATTTTAGAGCTCGGCTTTTGCACCCATAATTCCCTTTGGCATTGGTTGAAAGACCCCAGTACAAGTTGGAATTCCAAGGAAAATACCTAGAGGTTTCCCGGGAACTGTAAATGAGTTTGCTTTTGAAGTTGGATTGCCGCGAAATGATTGTAAAATGCGGGAATATGTTATTACAGAGCTGGCTGTAAAGTTTGAAGGAATATTTACACCCCTAAAAGGAAATATTCACTAAAAATAAATCAAAACTTCATTAACGCTCAAATTAATTATAAAAATGCAAATTAAACAAATGTCTCGGCCAATTGAATGCTCAAGTTCCTTTCCCTTTGAAATCCCTGCAATCATTTACCCATAAACATTTTAAAATCAATTGCTGGCGGGGGCGAAATCGCTTAGCTAATTTGCATATAAAACAGTTGAATTTGCGAACAAAATCAGGAAATATTGATGAAATTTGGGCAACCCTTGGCGGCTGCTGCTTCTGTTGCTGCTGCTGTTTTTGCTCTCGACGAGTCAAGTGGGTGTAAGAAATTGTGTAAAACTTGCTACAAATTGGCTATGCATATAAATTGATGTTAATGTCGATCGGCGGAGGGTTGTTCCCATGGCCCGAAAGTATGCAACGAGTGGATAATGTCGCAATCTGGTAATCTCGTAATCTCGGTTGCCCGGTTTGTTCCACTAAATCATCGCTAATCGCTTGCTAATTTTAATGCCTTCATTTTGCCTGCGTGCAAATGCACCTGAAATTGGTTAAGAACACAACAGGTGTTGGCCATCTTATCTCGGCCAAATTTAGCTAACTCTGTACTCGTCGAGTTCAGATGTACTGGCTACTTGGCTATTATGGCTGCCAATTGAAAAGGCTTCTTTGCTCAGATGAGTCATTTAAGTTTTTGGGGAACCAGGGGGCCAATAAAATATGCTTTTGGATGAGTAACCACTCTTGTTATCTCAAGCACTCCCAGCGATACATTAGAATATGTTAATCTAATAAGAATTGTTTATTCCACATTGGTATGCTCAAGTGCTTCACAGGTATTGATACCGATAAGAATATTAAAATCATTTTTGGGTGCATTCTGGATTTTAAAAAATATGTTTCTATATGTTACCAATGAAAATCCATAGTATGCTCACGTTTTTCTAATCGAACTCATAATGCTTACCATTTATTTCCATGCTAGAAATGTTCTTAGGATCCCTCTGAGTGCGATTAAGACGTATTAATCGCCATAAAGTCAGCCAAATCAAACGTAATTTTGGTGCAAACGTTCAAAGCCCAAAAGCGATTAGATTAACATCCGAGTGCAGAAGTACCAACTTGCCCATTTCAGGTATAAATACCCCTGCGATTGGGGAGTCTGGAATACAATACCAATAGTGCCTTCAAAGTGAATACAAGCCACAAAAAAAAACTCCTGAAAATGTACAGCTTCAAGAACTTCAGCCTTTGCCTGATGATTCCTCTTATGTGGACTTTCGTCACAGCCAACACGCCAATTAGACAATGTGAGTCCAGCGAAAGGAAACCTTTGTAGTGATAAACTAACTTTTACCTATTAAAATTCCAGGCTCCGACAGCAGCTATCCTCAACCTCTGATGGTCCAAATTGATAATTGCGACACCTTGCCCTGCGATTTGTGGAAGGGAACCGAGGCCAAGATCGACATTCAGTTTGTTGCCAGTAAGTAGTTATTAAAGGCCTTATTGCCCTAACAATTTTTATTGTGATTATAATCACTTTTCTGGGAATAATAATTATTATAATAATTTATCCTCATTATCAGAACATTTTGGAATATATTATTATATAATAATATATAATTTGTATAATACTTTATATAATCATTTTCGCGAAATAATTTAACAATAATAATAGAATTTAATAGAATTTGCTTATATATTATTTGATAAAGACCATTTTTTAGTCTACTGCAATATTGGAACAATTAACTGGTTATTAACACATTTTACAAATATTTCTAGAAAACTCCCAAAACTTTAAATTTCCTTTAAAAAAATATCCCAGATTTTTACTAAAATTTAATCATATCTTTTCTCCTCTTTTCAACAGCTCGCAATACGATGAAGAGGTTGTCGGCCGAAGTGCACCTGACCTCACTGGGAGTGACCATTCCCTATGACCTGGAGGCTTCCCGTGGCAATGTGTGCAGCAACCTGCTCCATGGAGCCTACTGCCCCCTGGATGCCGGCGAGGATGTGACCTATCAGCTGCTCCTCCCAGTCACGAATAACCAACCCGAGGTGCCCACCCGCCTGGAGGTGCGCCTCCTGGACTCGGATGACGAGAATCGTGTGATCTCCTGCTTCCTGGCCGACACTCGTGTCAAGAAGCCCAGTTCGGGAGCTTAGAATCTTAACTTATATACATATATGGCCAAGACATTGTATCAATGTTTTGGGTAGTGGGCATCCAGCGATGCCAATTAATAGCGCGTAAGCTGTTGGCACTTAAGCCCGACAAACACTATTAGCAGTTATGAATAAATAATTAGGGGAAAATATTATAAATAATCGACATGAACGGCTGAGTTAATTACCAGGGTGGAAGGGGATGTGGGAGTGTGGGGCGTGGCACATGTGGGCGTGAGGGCCAGACTATGCCAGCTTAGCCGGACCAAATTCACCACCCTCGACGAGGGCGCCATGAATCGGCTTAATTAAATGACGCAGAAAATTACGCAGCTCCGGGAAGGGGAAGATCCTAAGGGTGGTGGGTGTTCAGGTGGATGTGTGCGGTTTTTCTTTACAAGACTTTAAACTTTCCAACGCTCCTCAGTTAGCCTCCATTTACACGCACAGCTCCTATGGCTTCCTTCCGGCGCTCAAAGCTAATTGGCTTTTCAACACTTCGAAGCTTCCTGCTGCTGATGGCTTCTAATGAACAAGCCCTGATGGCAGCACATATCCGTCGGTTAGCTAATTGAGTCGTTGACTAGGTGGTGACATATAGCCAGAAATTACAAATTGCAGGCTATATATATTGTGATATTCAGTATGAATAATATTTTAAAATAGGTAACATAAATATATGCCATTGAAGGCCAAACATGACTAAGCTAAACAAAATCACTCGTGATTAACTTTACACGTGTTTGTCTAGAAATACAGCCGAATTTAGCCACCCGAACCGATGCCATGATGATAACAATTAGCCAAATTACTCAAAATTAAATAAAAGCTTAGCTGATTTAGGCACTTAGTTGTCTAGTCATGCTGTGAACAAGTTTTGAAAGGATCTCTGGTTTATTGCAAAATGAAAGTCGATCGGTTCGGTTGGGTTTTGGCTGCCACTTTGCTGCGAATGGCCATCGAAGTGGTCGGGGATCCGAGTTCCTATCTCACTGAATACGATTCAAGTCCAAAAGTGAGTAATTAATTATGGGTAAACTAAAAAACTAATTCATTCGAACATTCCAGAAAGCTGTAGTGGCCATAAAACACATTCATGCCTTCGGGGAGTCGAACTATATGAAGGTCAAGACCTACATACACGACGATCGCACTCACTTCGATCTATATGTCCAGATGGTCCATGAACTGGGCAGCAACCATCTCATCATGAATATCAAAGTACGAGTAAAGCCCGAAGGAAGTGGCATTTTCATACAACTATTCGAATTGAGGCGAATCAACTTTTGTGAGTTCCTCAACGAATACAACTCGAATCCGGTGATGCAGTTTATGTTCAAGAAGAACATCAAACTGAATGACATCATCGTATGTCCCGTCCGCGTGGGAAACTACTCGCTGTTGAACTCCGATGTTGCCGGAAATATTCAGACCCAAGGTGTCCAGAATGGCACCTACAAGTTCTTTGCCGAAATCGTCGAGGAAATCGGAGAGATTGCCAAGGTTTTTGCCCTCCAAGTCACTTCGATGGTATATATTGTGGACAAGGAAATGGATTGCACAACTCAAAGAAATGCTATTGTATGTGTATAGTAACCACTTCTTATTGCAAAATAAATAAAAGAAAATTAAAGAAATCAAAACGAAAGTTAGGAACTACTAAATTTAAAGTATTTTTCTATAGACAAGGAATTATTAATTGTTCAAATAGAACAAATAGTTATTTTAAAGACAAGAATATTTTCACGTTTAGAACTAAAATCAATTTTTTTTATCTGAATATAATTAATTACACCTTAGTTAATATTTTGGGTAAACATACAGAAACACTCTGTCATTCAGGGGTTAATCAATGAGAATGGGCTCATTAATTAAATGGCCATCATTAGGCTTTAGGAATGGACCATGACCACCTGATGGATGCCACCTGATGAGTGCTCTCATTGCGAAATGAACTTCGTTCGACTAGCGTTGTTTTTTCCGCTGTTTCAAATTATAAATGGCAACACAACGGGCACAAAGTCTTTGTGGGATGAGGACGAGGAGGAGGCAGCTCAGGTACTATTCATATACCCTAACCTACGATCTACAGTTGTGCCCTGTTTCTAGAAACCCATTTTGCGCATCCATCACATCAACATCTTCGGGGACTCTCGCTATATGAAGGCGGTGTCCCACATCGACGATACTCGCACCCAATTCGGTATCACCGTTTCCCTTCGCGAGGAGATGGGCAGCAATTTCCTGACCTTTAACATAAAGGTGCGAGTAAGACCGTCGGGCAGGGTGGTTTTTGTGACCCTGCTCCAAATGCGGGATCTTGATCTTTGCGGATTCTTCACCGAGTTCTCGGGGAATCCCATGATGAAGTACTTCCTGCAGTCGGAGATGCAGCTGAGCGACATCATCGCGTGTCCTGTGCGCGTGGGCAACTACTCGCTGAAGAATGTGAACGCCAAGGACATCTATCCGCAGGTCCTGCAGAACGGCACCTACAAGTTCTTCGTGGAGGTGATTGAGGCAACGGCCGAAAAGGTATTTGCCCTCCAGGTGACCACCGAGATTCGAGTTCCAAGTGCCACCGAATAAACAACAAAGGATGTGTAATTACACGATATGTGTGTGCTTTCCATTCACCCCCCGTCTGCATTGTAAGCGGATTGCTGTCCTTTCGCCCTCGAATTTTCCGCATTTTCCTCCGCTTCGGCTTTTCCATTGTGCGTCATGCGCTTGGGAGCAGGGAACATATTGAAAATCGTTTAAAGTGCATGCCCGATTATGGTGATTATCCGCAGGAAATATTGAAACTTGCGTGTGTGCTCGTCCTCGGGGGGTTTCTGTGGATTTCCCGCGGGATCCCTGCGGTTGGTCTTCCCCGAAGCCATATGTGCAATTTGGCTGTAATTAATAGAAAAACAATATGTTCGATGGCCAATCAATACACGTAACTCTGACGTAACTTTGGTTAAAGTATTCCAAGCGTAAGCCACTAAAACCCTTTTCAGCATTAACGTGTTAAAAAGCATTCGTAATATGATATTTTAATGGAGCCTGAAATATTCTCGCCACCGTTAATTAAAATCCGTAATGCGGTTTTCAGCGAGTATTATTTTCCCCTGAATTTATTTTTTTATAGGGGAAAAGGGGTTGGCTGACATGGGTCACACACCCTGACATCCATAATGCCTTTCTTAACGCACAATCAAGTCACTTTGCGAATTCAATTTGGCAAAAATAATGTGAAATATATAGATCTCAGGTCGGGGGAAAATGGAAATCACAATTCCAATCTCGAATGGCGAAGGGAAAATTCCAGCAAGTTGGGGAAAATTGTAAAGTGAAGTGCCAATGCCTGCCATCGAGTGTCGCACTTATGTGTGACCTTTGCAAATTCAATTTGTCGCCTTTTTATCTATAAACATTTTCTATTAGCCTCCGTTTTCGTTGGGGGAGCGAAGGTTTTCCAATTCGATTTGGCAAACGTAAGAGGTCAATGGCACACACACACAGTTTATTCAAAGAAATTGGCATTTGGTGGGGAAATACTTGAGCTAATCCGATGGGACAGGTCATCGAAATTAGAGCTTCTTAGCTTTTGTCCAGGAAAATTTCCAGAATTGAGTTTCCATTTCGAGCTGCCTGCGAAGGCAACTTTAAAATGCAGCACGGGTCATTTTTCTGACAATTAAAAAGGCGTTGAGTTGGGCAATTAAACACACGAACCTGCCTCAAAATAATTTACTTAAATAACGCAATGTTGCGTAATTCAGTTTCACAGTTTTGTAATTAAAAGCATTTGCATAAGAATCGCATCGAGCGCCAGGCCTCGGGCATACTTTCATGCCACCCTAATTAAAAGCTGCCCTCGGAACAAACGACTCCTTTTGTTGGCCAGGACTTTGGGCCCAAAGGTCATCAACGTCTCCGACGAGGCGACCCAAGTCCCCCGACTTTCAACTGGGGAAATGTGCAGTTGCGTTCTTGGTTTGTCAATAGCGTTTTGTCCTCTACGTGGCTTACAGGAAGTTTTTAATGTTGCAACAGAGTGACTTTCAATCGGTCAGGTTGGTGAACAGAATTAAGTTGTTTGGGCCGAGGAAAATAAAACGGAAATAAAAAACATTTACTATTTGCAGCCAGTTTTAACTCTATCAGTCAGCAAATGTTGCTAGTTTCATATACGAGTAGTTGAACTGAAAAAATAATCAATATTACTCTTTGGTTAAATAATTACCAAATCGATTTGGAAACTAGAATAACGATTTTCAAAATTGATAAATCTAAAACTACATACATAAAATACAAATTAATATTGGAAAGTTGTCCAATTTTCAACTACATTTGATAGTAAGGGGGATTAGTAACCTAATGTCATTTCAGGTTAGTTTTTTCACTCGATGAAGTGCGATGAGGCTAGAGAACTATGCGATCAGAGTGTGGTCCTTTGTGGCCATCATTTGGTTGCTCCGTGATTCACATGCTCTATTTAAGTTCACGAACATCAAGTGCACGTGTTATGAAAAATCGTATTGTGAGCTAAGGCGTTGTGAATTAAAGCTTCTAGGTCGCGGCATTGTGGCCCTTTTCCTACATATCCAGAACAATCAGCTGCCCATCAACACTTCGGTGGTATGCAAAAAAAACAGAAAGTTTTAATATTATTTGCTTTTATTACCCATCATTTTCAGTTCACTCTCACCTTGTTTCGAAGACTCAATGGCTACAAGCCGTTTCTTTACAATGTCACCGTCGATAATTGCAGCTTCATGAAACACAAAAAACGCTATCCATACTTCAACTTGGTGCACGATGCTATGCGAAACTTCACCAATTTAAATCACACCTGTCCTTACAGTGTTGGTAGTATTTGTATCCTAACTAAATTGTATTTAATATTAATGTATTTTATTTAAATTTACAGCATGATATAATAGTGAACCGAATGGTACTGAATGATAATATGATGGCAAAGCTTCCTTTGCCTACGGGTTTTTACAAACTCAAGTTTAATTGGAAAACAGGTGGCGTCTGGCGGGGCGTAATTGAAGTCTTTGTAGAGGTTAATTTGGGATTTGATTGATGAAGAACTAGAATCATTTTTAACATTACATTTAACATTAAGTTTTTCGATCATGTTCAATTTAAGCTGCGGTCCACTGAAGCGTATGGGTTGGATATTATCTAAATTTACACTTGGAAACAAAAAATGTAAATCTTTTAAGTATCAGAAAATATTTTAATAATTTTTAATGTTATAACTTTCAAATTAATTTGGTAAATCTAAATTATTTAAAATACTTGTTTAATATTACATAACTATTATTTATAAAATGCAACCTTAATTAATCGACTAAGGCTGCTAATTTTAAGATTATTTGTATTTAAAATAAAAAATATTATTATTAGGTTATAAAATTACATATTGATTGAACCTGAAAACAATAAAAATTTATTTGTTGGGCTTTGCCGACTGTGAGATACCTATCATTATTCTTATGATTAATAAATTTAAAAACGCTTTCTGTGAATAATTTACTCCCTAAGGGAAAAATATGTAGGTTTTTTTTTAAAACCGACTACTAGTTACAAGCGGACGAGAAAACGGCTCTTAATTTGCTAGTAAGTGGTATTAGTAGCTAATGCAATTTCATGGTAATTTTTTTATTCAATGAACTGCGAACTGCTGGCCGACGATGAGGCTAGAAAAGAATTCGATCAGAGTGTGGTCATATGTGGTCATCATCTGGTTGCTCTGTCATTCAGATGCTTTATTTAAATTTACCAACATCAAGTGTACATGCTATGAAAAGTCTTTTTGTGAGCTAAGGCGTTGTGAATTAAAGGTGTTGGGCCGCGGCATTGTGGGTCTTTATTTACATGCCCAGGCCAATCAGCTGCCTATAAACACTTCAACGGTATGTTAAATATATCACCTAATTATTACAATATTATAATTACTTAACCTTTTTAGTGCGTTCTTACGCTGTTCCGAAGATTTAATGGCTACAGGCCTTTCCTGTACAATGTCACAGTTGATGTTTGCAGCTTCCTGAAAAACCGAAAGCGCTATCCATTTTTCAACTTGGTATATGATGGTATACGAAACTTCAGCAATATAAATCACTCCTGCCCCTACAATGTTGGTAGTCTATCCTATAAAAAATAATATATATTCTTAGTGAATATTATTTTGTATTTCCAGCATGATATAATCGTTAACCGAATGGTACTGAATGATAATATGATTGTTAAGGTTCCCGTTCCGAGTGGATTCTACAAACTCAAGTTTAACTTGAAAACTGATGGCGTTTGGAGGGGCGAAGTTGAAGTCCACGTAGAGGTTAATTTGGGATTTGAACGCTGAATAGCTAGAAGTATAAGTTCCAACAATACCTTTTTATACCCTTGTAGAGGGTATTATAATTTCAGTCAGATGTTTGCAAAGCAGTGAAGGAGACGTTTCCGACCAAATAAAGTATATATATTCTTGATCAGCACCAATAGCCGAGTCTATCTAGCCATGTCCGTCTGTCCGTTTCTATGCGACCTAGTCTCTCAGTTTTAAAGCTATCGCGATGAAACTTTCCCGAAAGTCTTCTTTCTATTGCAGGTAGTACATATGTCGGAGCGAGCCGGATCGGACCACTATATCTTAAAGCTCCCATAGGAATATTCAAACATATATATGAAAATTCATTGTTACTTGTAGGAAGTAGGCGTTTTAATTCTTGACTACTTAAAATAAAAATTCAAAAATAGAAACGTTGAATCTGGAATCCCTGGAACTGCACCGAGTGAGTATTACTTTATCTGCAAGGGTATATAAGCTTCGGCTGGCCGAAGGTAGCTTCCTTTCTTGTTAGCAGATAAAATCTATTTATTTACGTTTTACATTCACATTCAATAAGAGATACGGTCCAATGAAGCTTATAGTTCGGATACTATCTAATTTTACACTAAGAAAAAGAAAAACTCGTTTCAACTGGTTTATTTCAGAAAATATGCATACAATTTTATTTTAAAATAAAAAAGAATTATAAAATTAAACAATTTTTTAAAAAATCGAATTTAATTTAAATATTTTTTTAATTTAAAAAAATAAAATGTTGTGTAGAAAAGTGTATTAATATTAATTTGATAACAACGTAAAACGATGATATCATAATTTTAATAAAAATGCATTTAATCAAAAATAAGAAATTGTATGAAAAATTACCTGTTATACGAATTTATTATTTTGTTTGTATTTTAATTCCGAGTGCATGGGCAAACAAATCGCAAATCCGTGTTCAAAAATCATATGAGCCTAATTAAGAGCCCATTACCCAACCCTCGCTTCGTAAACAGACACCGCCGACCGCAAGTCAACCAACGAACTCGTAAACCAACCCTCTTAGCAAACCGAAAATTTCAAATGGATGGGGTGGTGTTTTGTACAACATGTTGCGGGGTGCTCCGAATTGTTACGTGTGTAATCCGACACTTGGACGAGAATACTATACCAAGCCATTCCACCTGGGCAATTAGCCCGTGAAATCTCCATGCAAATGAGTGCAAACGGTTTGGCGCTCTCGTTAAGAACATTTCCTTAGACAAGTGTCAGGAGCAGGCGGACTTACAAAGAACGGAGCTATGCTAATGAGCCCCTGACAAGCTGACAATTAGCCGAGGGCCAAGGAGAAGCCGCAAACTGAAATTGGTTGACCTCGTTGCCACAACAGATCTTGGCCAGGCTTAAAACTTAATAAACCATTTTTTTAAAACCATATTTTTTCCCCCTTTATTGAGCTGCGAAGCCGCTGCTTCACTCCGTTGTGCGGCGGAGTATAAAAGTTGGTAATTTAATTTCAGTTTATTAGTCGGAATTGTTTTTGACGCTGCTGCGGATGCGGATGAGGCTGCTCCTGATGGCGTCGCGACGCAACAATTTAATTAAGTTTTTGTAGACCGTTTCTCTAATTAATTGCATTCAGTTGCAATTGAAGGCAGGGGTGGATATCGAAAGATAACTAATAACAGGAGAATGACAAGCTTTATTCTCTTTATCTTGAAGAAAGAAATTACCTTAACGCATTTAAAATAAAATGAATTCTAAAAAAGTTTACCATTTTTATAGAAAGTTTATATTTAAATATTATTAAAGTTATTAAGATTTTATATTCTGTAGAACGTAGATTTAATATGCATTTTTTTATTTATTTGAAGGCATAAAAAATCCTGTTAAAAAATATAATTATTTTAACATTTTAAAAAACATACTTTAAAAAAAATCCCACAAAAACCAAGTTGTGGATTTTTTTTTAATAATTTTACAAATAAAATATCAAAAAAAATGAAAATCGAATACAGCTATGCAGTTTCTTTTTTGAAGCCCTGGCTAAATTCCACCGACTTGCTTAATTTTTTGGCCAAAAGCTGACGCCATTTTGGAAACTCACTCGCAACGCCAGAGGGGAGCTGCATTAAATTTTCAAAACCACAAAAAGAATCCTTTGGTTCTTAAAATGTCTGAACAACGCTGACCGTGATGATGCCAGGGGGCGGATGGAACGGAGGGTAGGGTAAGGTTACCTGGGGCTGGCAACAAAAGGCGCACTCACCTGTCAACGCCCCAAGGCGCCACCTCCCCCACCACCTGCCCCTTTTCTGGGTGGATTGTGGGCTGTGGGTGGTTGGGTTAAAACTCCAAAGCAGTGCAATGAAATTCTTCATCTGCAATTCAATGACATTCCATTCCGGACTTTGGCCGGGGGGCGTGGCATGCCGCTGAAAGGCGCGCCAATGAGCGTGCCCCCAGTGGAGCAACAGATGATACATTTATGCAGCGCCCCCTGGTGGGCCTGCATCGGGGGGCGTGGCTGCGCATGCGCTCCGCCCACTTGCGTGGGTGTCCGGGGGTGGGATTGTCGAGCTATGTCATCCGCCCGGCGAATCCCAGAGCAGGACGCTCTGGATTCCGCCGCAAGGTGCAAAGGAGAGAAGGAGAGAGAGAGCGAGAGCCGCACATCCAGTTCAATAATGTGGGTGCCCAGTGGGTGGTGGATGGGTGGCTGGGTGTTGGGTGGTCGTGCCTTGAGCCGCCTTTCATTGGCTTCGCATTCAAACCCAATTTCAGCTGGCAGCATTGCGACAGGTGACCGTCTGCAGTTCAGTTCTCTTTGAAGCCTGCCGCGGGTCAGTTGCGTGTCACGGAAAATCCTTGAGTTAACGGCAAAGTCCTTGGGCTTTCGAAAAATTTATATTTGGGATGTGTTTGCAAAATTTATTAAAGGAAAATTTCAAAAATTGTGCAATTAAAGAAATAACATATTAAACGTATTATAAACAAATATTATAAGAAACACAAAAGCCAGTGAAGTTTTTAAATAAAAATTGAAAGATTGTGAAATAATATCAAAGTGCTATACAAATCAAAATACATATATCTAGTGTTTATTAAGGAACCTACAGGTAAATCTTAAAACCTTTTAAAATAAATCGTATTCTAAGATTATTACCATTATAAAAAACTATATAGTACTACAGTTTATAGAATCTCAACTCAGTAAAATGTTTTGTGATACATTTCAAATAAAAACCATTTGTTAAAAAATTAAAAAAAATAATTCCCTAGCTTTCAATTTAAATTATAAATTGATGTCTTCTTGGGTTTATGTTTTTTTATAAAAACTCAAAAACTCAAGAATTTTTAACACATTTTTATTTTGAATTTATTGCGACAAAAAAACTTATAAGAATTGTAATAAAAAACACCCAAACAGAATTTCCTTCAAAATATGTTATTTTGATGTCAAGATTGCTTAAAAGCAAAGCATGCAAATAACTGTTAACCGTTTTTTTCCTTACGCTCTACTCCCGAGAACAACCGAAAAATAGCATGCCCCTCGTTCTCTCTCTGCGCAGCACACTTCGTTTCCTTTCGTTTTGGTTTTCGGTTGAGCCTTTTACGTTGAGCTGTTCGTGAGACGCTCTGTTACGAACCTCGTTCAATGAGAGATACGAATGTCGCTCGCACAGGGAGACTTATTAAAAGACCGATTGACTGAAAAAGTCATCGCAAAAAGTCTTTTCACTAATACAACTATACAATGTATTCCCTTTGAAAGTACGTGCGAGTGAAAGGGAGAGCAATATCGCCCAAGCACGTTAACGTTAACACATGCACAAAAGACTTTTTGAAACGTCGTTCAGGAGCAATCGGTCTGTAAGCGAGCCGAGCAAAAGAAAGCCGAAAAAACTGCTCGTCGGCTGAGTGCGAGCAAAATTTCAGTACGAACAATTCAATCGGTTGCTCTCTGATTGTTTGCTCAAAGTCTCAGAGAAAAACAGTTATTTGGGGACCGGACGAATCGGTCAACAGTTATTTGCGAGCTATGCTTAAAAGCTTTCCAAATACCTACTATATATACAAACTAATTTAAAAAATCCTATTTCGTTTGAAAAAACAAAGTTTAATTTCGTATTTCCAGCTAATTCCAACCGAAACCTTAAATTCTAACTTTATTGGCCAAGCAAAATACTGAATATAGGACTTCAAATGAAAATCCAAGAAGTTGACGGCGAAACGCAATAGAAAGGGGAGAAAAATGATGAACATGAATCCGCCGACGCACCCTCCACACCCGCATTCCCATCTCCCCCAGTCGCTGCAGCATCTTGGCCAGCAGCGCCAGCAAATGCCCGCCTTGCTGCAGGGCCACCCAGCCATACCAACCACCCACTTTGTCGAGTGCCGGGCATTACCAGCAATCAACGAGACATTTCCGCAATTTGGCCAGCATCGTCCGGCTATTTCGCTGCTCTCCCCCTTGGACCTTTCACTGCGGGCAGCGGCCAGTGTAGTGCCAATTACGCCGCCCTCGACGCCCTCGCCGCCCCGCAAGCGCCAGAGATTGATGTCCGAGGAGAATTACCTGTGGCGTCCGCACATGGCGAGTCCTGCAGCTCCTGCAGGTCCTCCTTCGAACCTGGCAATGCAGCCAGGCAGCAGCTACTTTCATCATCCTCAGCAGCAGCAGCAACAGCAGCAACATCATCATCATCAACAATATGCCATACGCAGCAGCTTTGAGGGCGCTGCCTTTAATAAAAGTCATTTTCACGGGACGAAAAATAACTTTGAGCAAATTCCGGCGGGTCAATCGAGCGTTAGCTCGCCCATCTACGTGGAGGATGAGACGATTGTGCTGACCGAGGACGAGGATGAAACAGTTGTCAGTTCCCATGACTACAATGAGTACGGGCAGTCCACGGACACCGAGGAAGTCAACGATGAGACACTGCAAGTTCAAGTCAGCGATAATGGCGATGATGATGTCGATGAGGTTGACGGGGAGGCGGAGGAGGACGAGGAGGAGGAGGTGTTCGTGGATGTCCTGGGCAGTGACGATGACGAGGATGAGGCCTTGAATCCGGCCACAAGATTGCAGGCCCAATTGCTGGAGACCACGGCGCTGAAAAGGAACGAACTGCTCTACGAGGATGAGGAGCTGCACAACCAGGCGATAGATGGTCTGGCCAGGCTCTTTGAGCGGGATTTTCCGGAGCCGGAGTTGGAGGTCAGCGAACTGGCGGAGGTCCAGAGCAACAGCGGGAAAACCTACACGGATTTGAGTGGCGTGGCTAGCAGGGTGCATGCCAGATCTCCCCGTCTCCCACCGCCTCCCAATCCTCCAGCTCCATCTGCCCCCTCTGCTCCTCCTGCTCCCTTACCACCACCCCCCACTCGACCTCACAAGGCCGAACGCAAGAGGTCGAAACTAAGAAAACACATGGCCATCGATGAGGAGACCATAAGTCCCGTCTCCGGCACCATCATCCGCAAATTGCGCGACGACGAGGAGCTGGTGGTGCGCAAAGGCGACATTGATCCGGCTTTCAATGTCGTGGAAATCACCGAGGAGGCCAAGGCCATCCTGGCCAGCATCGACAACAAGATTGGCGACTATCTGTGCCAGTTGTGCCGCACCGTCTACGACGATGCCTTCATGTTGGCCCAGCACCGCTGTCCCCGCATCGTCCACATCGAGTACAAGTGCTCCGAGTGCGAGAAGGTTGGTTAATTGGTCAGTAGAAATTCTAGTGGAGATTCAAGGGACCTTTCTCCCCTTCCACAGGTCTTCAATTGCCCGGCCAACTTGGCCTCGCATCGCAGATGGCACAAACCCAAAGCGGATGCCGCCGGGGGTCCAGGTAATCCCACCAAGAAGCGACTCGTCGAGTCCGGGGATCTTCTCCAGGAGGCGGGAAGAGCTGGCGAGGATGCCAGCGATGGCATTTATCCTTGTCACCTATGCGGAAAGACCTTCCGACGGTGAGTAAAATCAAATTAAATGGGAATAAATAAAGAAAGCATAACTATAAAAGAAATATAATTAAAAAGAACAAAGCCCTTCAAAAAATTGAGTTTGTAAAATTGTAATAAAATGTATTAAACCTTTTAAAATACTATTATTAACTGAAATATCATAAAATTAAATTAAAATTAAACAGATTTATTTCCTAATTATTTTATTTAAATAACTTGAAATATTTTACTCACGGAAATATATGTTAAATGAATTTTTCTCCTTTATTTTTTCCATAACCACAGTCAAGCTTACCTGAAGAAACACCAGGCCTCCCATCAGATGTTGGATAATCTCAAGAATCTGGATTTCTTCAAGGCCCAGCAGCAACAGCAGCAGCAATTGGCCATCAATGGCCACCAATTGCCCGATCATGTCCAGCTGCAGCAGCAGCAGCAGACCCAAGGTCAAGCAGTTTCGTCAGCCGCAACCTATGCTGCCGCCTCTCTGCCACGCCCACCGCCCGGCATGCCCATCTATCCGCCCCCCAATGGTAAGAACTATGCGGGTGGCCAACGCTTTCCCGGCTTTCCCTTCCAGCCCTTCGACCAGCGTCGCTTCTACTCGCTGGGGGAGTTCTATCTATCACAGCACTTGGAGCGCTCCTCGGCCTTCCAGTACGTGCAGGCCAATCACCTGAGGCAGCTGTCGAATGTGGCTCAAACGCTGATGCCTCCGATGCCCGTCAAATGACCCAATGCAAATACGAATGTCCTGCGGCCTGTGCCCCGCATTGCTGCCACAACGAGTGCAACAGGACTTCCGGCGGCAGCAACAAATACCAGGCAAGTGGCAGCTTCCGCAACTGTGTCCTCCGGAGGACACGCCTTCAATTGGGTGGCTCCTTCAACGACAACCGGAAGTGCAGCGGGAAATGCAACTGCAACTGCCACGGCGAGTGCTGTCGAGTCCGGCGGCAATGTTATCATGTGACTTACCAACTATTAGAAGCATTGAATCAACAATCTCTAGTTCAAGTTTAATAAATCAATCAAAAGATTGGGAAGCCTTTTATTGGAGTTTCGGGTTGCAGTTTTAGTTTTTATTTTAAATGAGCAGAAGTAACCAAAATAAAAAAACAGAGAAAGTCTTCCAACTATCAGATATCCGATACTCAGCTAAACGTAGTGCGAGGGAGATGGAGATATGTAAGCAGCATAACATAAAGCGCCATCTAGCGCTAAATTCCTTTAACCTGATACAACCTTTTACTTTCTGACGGATACCGTATATATCAATTATTCTCTGTTCTTTTGAGTTAAGCCGTTTTTTCATAGATATATTTTTTATACAGTTTACACCACTGAAATATATACATCTCACTAAAAACTGATTTGAATTAATTAATCAAGTAATTGTGCTTCAATTTAATATTATATTCATCCTTAGTTCCAATTGTACTTGTAACCCCTTTAAATTGTGTTAAGGTTTAGTTCTACTTCTGCTGAGGACATGGGAAACAGCATGTGCTAGGAAGGTTTCCTTTCGAATTCCATGAAAAATGGCAGACTTTGGTCCTGTGGAATTTATAAAGATAACTGCAGTCAATAAATATGAAAGAGGAAATGACTTACCCCGAGCGAAAAGTAAACTTTCGGATGGCATTTGATAAAGTCTTTGTTGCATTTCCAATTCCGACGCATTGAAAGTATCCGAAAGGTGTTCTATTGTCTCCGTTTCCTCACTCACATCCAAAGTTGGCTTTGGATACATGGCATTGGTCAAGAGAACTAGAGTAAGAGCATCCTGATCCTTGTGAAGATTAGCCAGAGTGTCGTTCAGAAGCTGCAGTTCCTTTCTTTTGTCCATGCCCGACTGAATAAACTGCTCCACTATGAGTAGATAGCCTTGGCCTGGTTTTTTCAACAATTCTATGGACTTCTCTACCATTAATTGCAGACTTGGGGCCTTTGCATTTCCGCTTAAATCTCCATTTGCCATTATGCCCAGTATATGATCAAAACTGCTGGCATTCAGAGACTCCAGCTCATCGGTGCGCTGTACCAGTTCGAATTTTATAGGATTAATTTTGCTCTCCCTGAGTTTGTGGTTTCTCCACTCCTTCAGCAGATTGCGACCATCGCTGGACTCGCAGAGTAGCTCATCCACAGGATCCCACTTGCTGACGGGCACCAGACTGCTCAGCATTTGCCTACCGCCGCCAATGATTACGTTCAGGGATTTACCAGTCTCACCGGAGATCAGCTGACGGGCTATATCCTGGCAACCTGATTTTGAGGAGCCCAGTGGCATTCTTTCATCGCACTCATAGTTGCTATGGGTATTCGCCAAGGCAGCTCCTGTAGATCCTGTAATCCTTTGTGTGGTCACAAAACCAGTTCGCAGACCAGCCAATTGAGCCTGGCGAAGAATACTCAGAGGGGTTTTTGTTGCATTTACCAAGTCTCTACAATCCGTCGGACTTTCGGGGACTCTATCCAAAGGTATTCCCGACCAAAGAGCTTTGGAAACCCTCTCCACTTGACAGGGAAACTGCTGACTGCAGCTGTTCTTCAAGCGAACCAAATGGGGAAACTGATCCCAAAGAAAGTTCTCATTTTCCTGGCTAATATCTCTAGTTGGAAATCGAAGGGCCGCCAAATCCCGGCCATCGACACCCTGTACCAGAAATATCCGCACGTTTCTGGGATACTGCGGACCCTTGGAAGATCTCAGCGCCTCGTTGAGCTCATCGATGCCCTTGTCATACCAGATTTTCTGCGATGGCGCCACCCTGTCCTTCCAATAGTCCACATCCGCCACGTTGGCCACCTCGTTCTGTACCTCGTAGCGGGTCATAAGGCCAATGCAGAGCAGTGTGATCATCACTGTTAGCAAACATGTTCCGGCCACCAGGAATACCTGTGTGGACTTCAGCCGAACTATTTGGCAAACCTCCTTGGTCCGTTGTGCGGTTACCATTGTCGAACTTTGCCTAAAACTGATTCACAGTCGCTCTCCTATTCGGATTTATTCATAAACAACTTTATCTACTATCTGTTGTTCGAGATAAGGTTTGGGTTTCTTCTTAGGGGCCTTACAGCCCCCAATCGTTGGCCGTTTAGTTGGGTTTAAGTGTGGCAATTAACCCACGTCATGAATAATAAATGCACTAATTGACGTGTCAGCTAATGCAAATCACACAGAGAGAAAAAATGAAGAGCAAACTTAACTGATATTGTACTTGAACGGTAAAGGTGGGGGATTATTAATATGTTATTGTATTATTTTATTTAATTTATATATTTATTAGTTTGTGGAACGATGGTTAATCTTTTTTATTCACTGATAAATGTAGTTAAATTTTAACTGCTAAAAAATAGTGTAATTTGGATAACAGTTTTTTTGTCCTTACGCCTTTACATTAACTTGGACCATTTTCATGGGATTAATAAATTGAAGTTTGGTATATAAAATATGGAATTATTTTACACTTAATTTTCCCCGTGCACGGCATTGCGAATTCCGAGTTCAATTGCTGTTTTGAGGGGTCAAAGACGTCTCAGCTTTGGCCATAAACTATTTCCCACATGTGTGTTAACCACAATTGATTTGTGAGTTTGGTCTAAAGCAGCCGACTTGTCAGCAGGAGGTTATGGCCTTTGGCCCTAACAAACGACAAATGCTAATTGTCATTTGGCATTCAAATGACGTTTTCGATTTCCACCCCGTTCGGCAAACTATTTCGCTTATGAATTCTCGCCCAATTAAATTGGCTCACACAGTGCAGCAAATGCTTTGTTCATTTGCCAGTTATGCGAATGCGAAATTGTTGCCTCAATTACCTGCCATTAGCCTGCATTTACGCCCCAATCCCTCTGCCCCCTGCCACCCAAAACCCCCTCCCCTCCCCCGACCATACCGACCACGCCCACTCGGTTTTGCCACGTCCGTCATTTCGTCGCTTTGAAGTTGCTTTGCATTGACATGTGGTCAGTTTTCCCCCGAGCGAAACTGTCACAATTTCAATTTGTATCCCACTCAACTGACAATGGCACTCGGTCGTTGGGATATCACTTTGATTATCGGTTTGTCCGTTTACTCTGTTCATCTGTTTGTCTTACCAACAGTCTTGACTTGCGGAAATCGCTGAGCAATTTCAATGGCAATTTTTCAATCATGCTGTGATTTTGCCTGTCAAACAGCAGCCCACGTTGCGTATGGGTAATATAAATGAGGGTGTGGATGGGGTGGCCCAGCTCCTTTCTTGCCCTTCCCTAAACCAATGTTTAGAGGTGGAAAAGATAGCATTTGTGGGCACTATGATAGTACTCAACATTATACTAAGGGTAACTTTGGATCGCAAGGGGTGTAGGAAAAGCTCAACTGTCACCCTCTTTAAAAAGGTTGGTTTATTGACTGAGCTTGTGGGTGAGCTTTTAGCAGCGCCTCTAACGGTGAAACTTTTTTGGGGTGTAAGGGAGGGGAGTTTTGGGGACTGAGAAAGTTGGGGTAAAGAGATAAAATGCATTTTGTCGATCTGGCAGCACTCGTATTCCTAGTCTAAATCGAAAAGTAAAAATGTAAAACCTAAAAGTTTAAGGACCATATTTTCGTAATTTTTTCGTTAAATCATCAGGAATTTTAAAGAAGAGTAACAGATTTTTTAATTTTATACACACAAAAATGTAGCGTTTCCAACAGAACAATTTAATTTGCCAAAAAGTAAAACATTCCTATTCTTCGAAAGTTTGGAATCGAAAAACATTTTTATCTATGCCGCACCTTCTTGAAAAAAACTAACGCATTCACTTAAAACAATCAAATCTGCCACCCATTTCAAAGAAAGCATCAAACAAATTAATTCAAAACAGTAATTTGTTTACATTAAAACTTAATTCCTTAAATTAGTTATTACAATTATTTCTACGTATATTCTTTGTTCTTTGTTCGTTGTTAAAATATTTTAGCTACAATTTCGACACTTTCTCAGGTGAAGATGTTGGCACTGTGTGTTCAGAAAGACCTGTTTCGAAACTTACTGTATTCTTGAGCTCCGCCTGCATTGTGTAAAATGAATTGTTATGTATCCGTCATACAATGGCTGCACATTAGAATCGATGTCCCGTTATTAGGTGAACTGCAGTCCAGTCGACTGGCTAAAGCGGGAGTAATAGAAACACAATAAGCCAAGACAATAATTAACTTTGTTCGGCCTCCGGTCTGTCATTTAATACTATAAGGTTTTTTTGTCAAACAAACTACTCATGTGAGGAAGAATAATTATCGAATTATGATTGACTAACTTAGCTACCAGAAATATAAACAGTTAAATTTATATAGTGCAATCACTAGGTGTTTAACAATAACCTTGATAAGGTAACACTTAATAAGCTAACCCCCTCAATTAAAATACAAATTGTTGTCAATGTACTGACTTAGAAACTTCCTGACTTTGCTAGTCATGAATCAGTGCGCAAATCCCGAACAGAAATCTATTTAAAATGCATAAAATATGCCAACAGCTGGTGAAATCTGTTGTGGCTTACGAAGGATTAGGATCCTGCCCGCTGGCCAAATCATATATACTGTGCAAATGACATTTCGTATGCATCCGACGAGCGCCGCAGGATGCAATTAGCGGCGAGTGGCCATCAAGTTAGTTTTGAGCCATCGAGGACGGGAAGGCGGAAAGAGGGGAAGCCGAGAAGGCGAGAATCTGAGAACTCGAGAACATGGCCGAGAACAGGGCTTTTGACTGGCAGGAAGTCGACGGGCGTGACGCATATGGGTCACTCTTGGGCTGGCCCACGTCAATGGCTTTGCAGGATGCCAAGCCAGCTGCTGCTGCTGCATCCCGCCCACGCCCAGGCCCACGTCCACGCCTACGACCACGCCCACTCCCTGTCCACGGTCGGAAAACTGAAAAACTGGGTGGTTCCCCAAACCCCCTGGAATTTATAGGCGAGAGAGCGAAAGAGAGAGACTCTTCGCAGCCATGACCTTGCCCCCCAAATAGAATTTCTCATCATCGAGTGTTGTTTGCATTCCAACGGCGCCTGCCTAAAACATTTTCCGTGTTCGCTTTCCATATGGCAAGGAGCGAGGAAATTCCTTGACACATTTTCCGGGGAAAAATTGAAAGCCCAGTAAGTGAAATCCCCAATTAAGCGTTAATTTGATACGCTAAATGCGAATTACGAAACTATTTGCAATTAAAATTCACTTTATTTGTTAATAAGCAATTAAAATTTGCGCTTGAAGTAAAGTGCCTTACAAGTCTTATAAGAAAAACTTTCCAAGGACATGGGCGTTCATTTAAAAGGGTATTGATTAACTTAAATGTTGATTAATGTCAGTCCTCAATTTCTAACTTTAAAAAATAAAATACATTTAATTTTATATATAACAAAGTTTTATATTTTTTTAAACCCCTTTTGAGTTACTTCACTGTCATTAATTTACTTTTGAAGCCAAGCCATAATACTACTTAGATTTGTTGTTGCAATTGATTACCGCTTCTGCCTCTCTGTATTGGGAAAATTATATTTCCCCATTTATTTGCCAAATGTCAGTCACTGTATACTCTTAAAAAGCTCTGTAAATACACTTGTTGCTGATTTTCCTTTCTCAACAGGAAAATGGGGTATTGCTATCTGTATCTGTCCTATAACTTATAATAAAGTAAAGATGACTTAAACAAAAGAAATGACATATCGTATGGTTTTAACGTATGGCGATATTAAAATTCCCAGGGTCATTTGCAGCATTATTATGATAAGAAAATTTCCACTTAACCCACACGTCTTAGCATCTGCCATAATTGGTATTTCTCTATAGTTTACGCTTGATTGCATGCCATTCTCATTGCCATTTGACAGCAATTTATATAATACAAAGGGGGGTAATAAAGGGGGATGAGCAATATGACTCGTCTAGCCCCCTCATGGGTGCAATAAATGATGCAGTGGGGTGGAAAATGATGCATTTAAATCTTTACCTTTCAGGGGCACCTACTTATACTTTCTGCCATATCATCTTATCATATGAAAAATGAATAAATAATAAACCATACCAAAATCAAGGGTTCGAATTAGAATGTTCGTATTGTGTATACCAGAAATCGGAAATTATTCTTGAAATTGTGCAATTTTGTTTATTTTTATTAGGAAATGCGCTTGATTGAAATTCTTTCCGTTTTCCTTCGCCGTATTTTAGATTATTTCATTTAATGTTTGGCAAACACGAAGAGGAAAGACAAGCAGAGATAAAGAAAAAAATGCAAAAAGAAACGGAAAAGAGATAAAACAGAGAAGTTGCAATTTATTGATTGTGTGCACTTGCACTTGTGTGCGTGTGTATCTGTGGCAGCTTTTTGTATCTGTGTCTGTGGCTGTACTGAAAAATAGTTGACATCTGACGATACACTCACACATTGTCGCTTTTCTATACAGACATATATAAATATATATACTTGTGGCATGGCCTTGAACGTGAATTGCATTTGCGCTCGAAAAGCGAAAAAAGTAAAGGGAAAAAACAAACACCAAGCGAAATACAAACAACAACTACAACAACAAGATGCTAGGCGAGGGAGATAGCGAATGTGCGAGCGAGATGGCCTGACGTCGCAAAGAAATGTGCCAAAGCGAAAAGTTTGAAAGCACACAAGCGCAATTCGCAAACTGCATTTCCCCCTCTCTCGCGCTCTCGCTCTCTCCCTTTCTCTTTCCCCCTCCAAAGCAAGCTATCTCTTTTCAGCTAACAACTAACAATCTCAAGGTTACCGCATCCACATACAAATCGCTCATGTGATGTGCACTCTCGCTCTCTCCCTCGCTCTTCTTGGCAGATATGGAAAACTACCGAAAATAATTTAATTTTCAAATGCAATTTCATGTTCTTAGCTTCCCTTACCCTCGGATTAATCCACCTGCCAAACTAAAGAGGTACCTACAGAAACATTTCCATTTAAATTTACA